TTTCTAGACAATTTTATGTAGAATATTTCCGTCATACATGATTTCTATGTAACTTTAACCATTAAGGCTGCACACGCGACGGAAGCTTAAAAAATGGAGTAACTTCTCCCGTTTTCCCAACATTTCCCTTCACTACTCTGCTCCTAGTGATTGTAGCGTGATGAAAAGTATACTATAACCTGCCCAGGAGTATGAGGAATAATTGTACCAAGTTTCGTTAAAATCCGTCGAGTAGTTTTTGTTTCTATAAGGAATCGATCACTAATCACCCCCTGATAGTTATTTTAAAAATATATTTCATGTACAGAATTGACCTCTCTACAGATTTATTATAAGTATAGATAGATGTGGCTTCAATTTTTGTAATATACAACTTGGCATAAAAATCTGTGAGTTAACAATCAACCCTATTTCTCCACCCTTGGGGTAGCATTTTTGTTTCCAAAATCTAGGACCAACTTTGAGGTATACCCTATCCAATAAAAACTGGCCAAGTGTGTGTCGTGCCACGCATATAGTATAGGGTACCGTAGATATTTTATTGTGTTTTAAAAAAAATGGTTTTTCAATTCAAGGTTTTACGCTATATAGGCAAACAATTACTTCAGCTAGTCACTTTTAATGTGTCCTTCTAAGGATCATTTTAGTTAAGAAATTTTCTAATAGAGCCTGTACGGCAAGAGAATGGGCGTGGCGAAAAGCGGAACTAACATTAAGATTTTTATTTGGTAATCAAACCCAGCAATCTGTAAAACGTCAAAGTTTTGTATTGATACGGATTTGTTTGTTGTTGTGATTTCTTGCGGTTTTTTGTATTTAATCATGTCTAAAAGAGGTAAAACCTTACAAATACGGTAGAAAAGCAATACAGCGCCCTCCAATCTGAATCCCATTCTCTTTCTGCACAGACTCTACCTAAGTTGAACGACTATATATTACTCTTAAACTCATCCTAACCGTCATATCTTCTTTAAAAGATCATGAAAAGCACTATAATCGTGTATTTTTTCAGATATATCAAGCCTTTTGTGTGTGGGTGTTATAAGTACCTTTTCAAATAAAAATCTGCACTGAGGTTTAATATTTCCCAAACGGATGCCTAAATCGAAAAATAGTAAGTCGTTTTGAAGGACCTATTCAACGACATGCCACACGATGGGGTAGACAATGAAAAAAATTTACCCCCACTTTGCATGTAAGGGAACTACTACCCTATACAGTTTTTTGTTCCAAAATTATATGGGACCAACTTCGAAGTATCATCATCATCATCAGCCTCTTAATGTCCCCACTGCTAGGGCACAGGCCTTCCCTATGGATGGAATAGGGAGATTGGGCCATGACCCACCACGCGGGCCCAGTGTGGATTGGCGGGTGCTAACGACTGCAGATGCAACCGGGACCAACGGCTTAACGTGCCTTCCGAAGCACGGAGGAACTCGAGATAGAAATTTTTGGTCACCCATCCAATGACCGACCACTGCGAAAGTTGCTGAACTACAACGATCGCAGCCGGACGCGCTAACCACCTGCGCCATCGAGCTCCTCATATCCTCACTTCGAAGTATACCATTTCCAATAAAAAAAGAATTATCAAAATCAGACTTCTCAGTAAAATCTTATGCGTGATCATACATTACAAAAAATATACGCGTCGACTTCATAACCTCCTCCGCTTTCTTCTCTTTATCTATCTCTTACGGTTTGGCCGCTGAAACAGCACCACAGACGGATGGACGGACGGACTTGTCTAATAGATAAGAGATAATTTAAAGAAATTCTTTAGATGCAAGTGCCAAAATCAAGGAATTCACGTCTCTTTGTGTGATCGTGACTGTACCGACACCTCTGTGCTTTATAGGACATTTTCCTACAGCCCTTTGACTTCTGGGTTACGGCTAGGGTAGCCACCTTTCTTGTCCAAATAAAGTACATTGGATATTAAAGGTACAAAAAAGTACATTGTATCCAAAATAAAGTACTTTTAATTCCACTTTATTAGTAAGCTTAAATATATATTGTACATTGCTTCTAGCACTAAAAATCTGTGTTTTTTTTCGGGAAACGTCATGGTACAAAGCCATACATACAGCCACGACAAAGCTGCAAAACTGAGCTAAGAGCGACATATTATTTATACATACTGACTGTCCGTTTTACGCAAAAATGTTTGCTAGCAATCTCTTTTTGTATATTTTCTTCAAAATTAAGTATTAGTATTTTCAGTATTTTCGCGTACTTTATTTTTGGCATAAAGTATAGAGTACAATTACCCGAAATAACTTATAATATATATATATATATAAAACTCAAAGGTGACTGACTGACATAGTGATTTATCAACGCACAGCCCAAACCTCTGGACGGATCGGGCTTAAATTTGGCATGCAGGTAGATGTTATGACGTAGGCATCCGCTAAGAAAGGATTTTGATCAATTCTACCCCCAAGGGGATAAAATAGGGAATGAAAGTTTGTATGAAACTTTGTCAATTTTAAACTGATCGGGCTGAGAGTTTGCATGCAGGTATAAGAAGAATCATAGATGAATGACATTGTGTTAATACAAGCCTGATACAAAAACTGTAGTCTACACTTCAGCTCTACACCGAAGCGAAGTGAGGGCGGGCCGCTAGTACTTTATAATAAAGTACGGGTGACAACTCTAGTTACGGCCCTTAATATATAGAAATATGTTTGTACTTCTATCGAGAGAGAACAAGCTGAACGGAACTAGATGTAATAAAAAAACCGGCCAAGTGCAAATCGGACTCACACTCGAATGGTTATAATATCGAGCAAAAATCAGTAAAATAACGTCTGTTGCATGGGAGCCCCCTAAAATATTTGATTTATTCCATTCCAACAGAAATACGTCATGTTATTTTTATATTTTTTTCCATGTAACTGCTGGATGTTTAGATCCAAAGAAAATATTACTAGAAAAAAATCCATGCGGACCAGGCAGCAGACGGGACTCGAACCTTCCGCTATCCGGGCGAATGCTCTCACCATTATGAACCATTGAGAAAAAAAAGCAACTGGAAATAATATAGTAAATAAAAGGACGAAGAAAAAAAATATATGTGATACAAGGTGGAAAGTATTCTTGATTTTTGAAGAGGTCAGAAATAAACTTTTTGTGACGCGCAAAACATCATTAAATATATCGATGTCTTTGCTAATACGCGCTGCTTCATTATAAGAACAGCACATTTTACTTAAGGGGCTGTTATAGGACATTTTCCAGCTGCTGCATTTCGCCATCGTACATGGCGACAAAAATTTCATCCCAATCATCTTGATGCGTGGCTATCCACAATCGTGCGTTTTTGTCGAATTTTTTTACCACGTACGACAAAACTGTGGAATATGTTGTCGCCAGCAGTGTTTCCAGACCAATATGACCCAAGAACCTTCAAAAAAAAGAGCGTACTCCTTCCTTAAAGGCCGGCATCTCATTTGTGATACTCCTGGTGTTGCAAGTGTCCATGGGCGATGGTGATCACTTACCATCAGGTGAGCCGTCTGCTCTTATGCCCCCTATAACATAAAAAAAATTATTAACCTGTATTACAAACGTTCCTTCATTAAGGAATTGTCTAAGAGACTCACCGAGGTGACCGGTGATCAAAAGGCTGGCAGCTACCTCGGCCAACGGATTAGCCTCGCTATCCAACGTGGAAATGCTGCCAGCCTATTGGACACCGTTCCTGACAGCGGCGCTGGGGGTGATATATTTTTTATTTACTAAATTGTATATTATTTAAGTTCTTAGTTATTCTTGGTTTTTACGTTTTTAGACATTAGGAAGTTTTAAGCTTTTGTAATTGTAAACTCATATCTTTTATGGAATAATAAATATGTTCAATTACAAACGTGTTGGGACTACGATATTTATATATTCGTATGTTAATACATAATGATGACAATAGGTCAGGTGCATCAATAGATGAATAGAGCAACTTATGATACAACTTGGTGACAGACAGACATACAGACGGACATTGGAGTCTTAAAGAAAGCCTAATAAATGGCAGAATTGCATTCAGTTTGCTCGAGCTCCTCCATGCTTCAGAAGGCATGGATGCGTATGAAGTCTTAACACTCAGTTTCGTCCACACGTAAAGCCTGTTGGGGTGTGCCCAACGAAAGCTGCCTGGTTGGCTGCAACGTGGCTGCGTGGACGAAAAGCCTGTGGGTTGTCCCTGTGGATGAAATTGGACGACAGTTGAGAAAATAATGGGCAGATGATAATATTGATTAATAATGATGAGAAAATCTTTTCAATTTAAATTAGAATCATCATCATCAGCCTATCAATGTCCCCACTGCTGAGGCACAGGCCGTTGGAATAGGGAGATTGGGCCATGAACCACCATGCGGGCCTAGTGCGGATTGGCGGGTGCTAACGACTGCAGATGCAGACCAACGGCGTAAAGTGCCTTCCGAAGCACGGAGGAACTCGAGATAGAAGATTTTTGGTCAACCATCCAGTGACCGACCACTGCGAAAGTTGCTTAACTTCAATGATCGCAGCCGAATGCGCTTACACCCTGCGCTATCAAGCCCCTTTAAAAAAACTAAATTAGACTAGTTCTCCAAATCCTTGTAATTTATTGATTTTTGATAAGATGTAATTTATTTATACTCTTGAATTCGATCTATGTTCAAATTCTTAACATAGTTATATTTTCATGTACCTATTTATTTGCATACAAATAAGATAAGCCCATAAAGAAAGTCCATAATAATCTCACATATTTTTTAAACGAATATAAATTATTAATTTATTTCATTTTAAGGGACATACTGTTTAATTGAGCAACATGGTGATAGATTTCCAATACAAAGTCGCCTGTTCACAATTAAAATGTACCGTGGACCTATGGCAGCACGTATATCGCCGAAGATAGCGACACGCCGCATTCTGGTACCACGTCACGTATTAATGCTCGTATATAAAGCAAGCCCTGAACTTCCATGGCATACATTGTGATTGTTTATCGTATCGCAGTCAGTCGCCTCTGCCGTCAAACAAAATAAATAAAACAAATTAGACAATGGTGAAAACGAAAAAGTGCAACATGGCCAAACTATTAGTGATCCTCGCGGTAGCCGCTTACGCCAGTGCCCAAACATACTCCGCCTCGAATCTAGTTAGGAACATTTACGACGAATGTTTGAGCCAGTATTCGGTGGAATGCGTGAAGCCAAGAGCCCTGCAGTGGATTTCGCTGGTGGCCAACGATGACGAGATCAAGATCACGGACAACCTTTCGATTGTGAAGACGGCGACGGTAGAGGCTGACGCCAATGTGGACCCTAGGAGTGCTAAAAACTCAGCTTTGGATATCGTGGATCAAGTGGATAGCTTCATTCAAACTCATGCGGTCAAAGTGAAAGTTCCTGAGGAGATCTCGAACAGTGCTGCATCGGAGTATGTGCCAAGGTCCCTATTGGTGGATCTTCCCACTGAACTAAACATGCCTTTGGATGGCGAGGAAGAAGTTGAAGAGTTCGAGGGCAGGAAGAAGAAGATCAAGCTCCCCAAACCTTTGAGGATTAAGAGCAGTTAGTTGAAGGATACCAATATTCATTAACTATTTACAATTACTACTGTAATTGGGGATGTCATTAATTAATGCATTATTTTTCCAGAACATGGCTTCATCAAGAAGGTGCTTCTGCCTTTCCTCCTCGGTTTGAAGTTCAAGGCTTCGGTTTTGGTTCCCCTGGCTCTCGCTCTCATTGCCCTGAAGACCTGGAAGGCCCTCACCCTTGGTCTCATCTCCCTTGTTTTATCCGGTATGCGTATTTCTTGGTATTAAATTTAGATTTACAATTTGATCTATTTAAGATTTAAATATTTAGATTGTTTATATAGAGTAAACTTTTATATAGCAATAAACTATCCCTATAGGATCTTAAATGTAATCCAACCATGTTCAGGTGATCAAGCCACATATTTATTGGAGAAATCAAGACCCTCGCGAATAAATACCGACCTCACTATACTTAACTATTCATTTAATATTAGCACTAAACAATATTTCATAATTCAACAGGTGCCATGGTCATCTTCAAGTTCACCAAACCTAAGGTTGTGAACTACGAAGTTATCCACTACCCTCAACACCACGTGGAACACCATGTCGATCATCACGCAGCAGCCTGGGACGCCCACGGCCCGTACCAAGCACGCTCCTACGAAGACGCCCACGAACTAGCTTACAACGCACAAATGTAAAAAACATAATCCAAAGCTATAAAATGATACGGACCTCGAATTAAATTAAATTATTTATTTATTTATTGCTACGTTGTAAATAAAGCTATAAATTAAGTTTCTCATAAATTATGTTTGATTTACTCTTGAATCCTTATCTCATTATAACAACCTCTTCAGCAAAGCCAATCCTATTGGAATTTTCATTACGTAGAGTAACATTTTTGTTCAGGTTAATGATTGCACCAATTCTGAGATTGGTTCGATTATCGTCAAGAAAAGATTTTGATCCATTATTAGCCAGAAAATCTACATTGCTTTGAACTTTACGGGGTGTTTCGTTACTCTCTCTTGATATATGATCAAGAATATTGTCAAAGACTTCTGTAACTTCCTTCCTACCTTTGTCTTTGTGCAACCTTGAAATATCGAATACTTGTTCACCATTAAATTTTTCTGGAACAACATCATGCACCGTATAGGACGGCGGACCTATTTTAAATTTATGGCGCGGTTGTGTCATATGGATAGCTTCCTCTATCTGTTTAAGATTCACCTTTGTGCGTGCTTTCCTTTCTCTCGTACTTTCGTTTGAATCAAAATGCAAGACATCAGTTGGATTGTCTACCCTGTTTGGCAGAAGCATTCGATTAGAAAACTGTTTATATATCTTTGACTGTCTCAATGGGTTAATTTTGTATAAATTTAGCAACACCTCGAACTTGTTTTCGATAACGCTCTTCATAGCTTGGTTTGTATTAATCCCATCAATGCTTATTGTTATCTGAAAAAAGACAGTTCAGTCACTTAAATGAGAGGCTCAATGCAATCTCGTCCTGAAGTCAAAAACATTCCATGTGCAGACATGAAATATCTGAACTCCTAGTAGATCCTAACTACCTACCAGAATTCACTGTAGGAGAATAGCAGGTGACCTACTCTGGAATAATTTCGAAATAATTTCAGGACCACAACTATATAAATGTTGCGTTATGGCTCAATAAAGATATACATCGTTTGATCACGATAGCATAAAAACGTAAGCACCCAAATAAAAAGAAAAGTTACCCGCTATATCGAGACAAGACATGAATCCCTAAGCACATTTACATAATGCATGCCTTAAAAATACGCATCGAAACGCTGATGTATCTCGAGAATGAAATAAACGTGTTTCTCCTTACAGGTCTGTATCCATTAAAATAACTATTTACTGCCAATGGTAACTAAATAGACTAAGCTAAGAATACTAATAGGTAATCAGAATTTGAAACTTATCAAGTTAAAGTTTTAACCCGCATGTACAGGATGTACTAAATTATTCTAATATAATTCAGCAAAGTAAGTACTCACCGATGAAAGTATTAGTGCTATTTTCCAAACGGAAATGTGATTGAAAGTGAGCATGATGCCAAACTATCGATACATCTCTATCGATAGTTGATTGGTTTACATCTGACCACTTATCGATAATATCGATAATGCAAGAAGTTATTGTGCCAAACTGGACATAAGATTAGTAAGGGTTTTCATTTTTATTTACTGTTGTAAGCACTTTCAAAGTGAATGTTATTTTCAAAATTATAATTTCCTTCACTTTTACCGTTTTATACTTAGTTAAAGTTTTACTCATTATAATATTAATGTGAACATGTTCATAATCAATATTAATAACCTATTTATCATTTTTTCAACCAAAATGAAACCCTGAACAAAAAAATTCAATAGCTATTTCAACAACAACATTGAAGGTGAAAACGAACATAAGAAATTATCATACTTAATTACTGTCAAACATGATTACACATATATTCGTTATTCCAGTTATTTTTCTTATGATTATGATTAACCTGCTTATAAAATAAAACTTGTTTTAACGGTTAAGGATTTTTTATTTTTTTTATTTAGTATTTATTAAAATAAAAAATCATTATTTTGACGATGCAGACCTGAAAAGGCTGCGAAACGTTAATAAATAAATAAAGTTCGTGCATTAACCCGTTAAAACTAGTTTTATTTAATGAGTGATGTGCGTGAAAACCTAAGAAACAAATAATCTATTTATGATAAATAATAGATGTTTTTCTAATATTTCAACGATACAAGCATGATTCTCGCACAATGTTTCACATCACTAGCGTTCAGTATGCATCACTTGTTATGCGTTCGGTGGCTTGTTATGACCTTTGATTTACAAAATATTTAGCTACTTACCTACAACTACTGCGGAACTTAAGTTGATTGTAACACTTTCTATAGTTTCTACATACCCAATTCTAGCTCCATGGCAACTCCGTGCTATGAATCCTTTTTAGGGTTCTGTAGTGTTGACAAGGAGCCCTTATAATTTTACGCTGTTTTGCTTGGAAATTGTTAGCAGTAGAGAGCTGAAATTTTGTGGAGATATGTACATAAATCATTTTGACAAAATGGTACAATAAAATTTTGAAAGTATATTTCTTTTTACGGTAGCTCCCCTTCATGTAACCTGGGCTGGGCATGACTTTTTTTCATCGTCTACTTTCAATTACTCAGGGGTTCCTAAGACTATTTTTCAATATACAGATTCGTTTGCGAAATATTGAACTTTAAAGCGCTAAACCTTGCATTGATAAACAAAATCTAAAAAAATCTATTTAAAAACCAAAATAAAATATCATCCCCGTGGGGGCAAATGTTCGTGTGATGCATACGAGCATTTGTACTCCAGTCATGGATTTTTGATATGTTTTTCTTTAAAAATATATTTATATATGTAAAGTAGGTATATTCTATCCGTTACCCTTGTAACCGATAGTACAAACCTTACAGTGCTTACTTTGGGGCTAGGCTAATAATTGGTGTGAGATAAATACTCGATAAAGACGGGTGGTGCCATCTGTTAAGTTACTCAGACAATATTATTTCAAGAGAGACTACTCGCTTGAGTCGGTATTCGAGATGGTAAAGCAACATCCAGAATCTATAATCACTCGAAAATGATATTTTGACGTGACAACGTCTTAAATTAGGTTGCGGCTGGGAGTCACTTATGAAAAAGTGTAACGCTCGGTAACGTTACGATGAGTTTAAGTTTACATGTACAATGTTTTAGTAAACAAAATATATTTCTATAGTTAAAATTTGTGCAATTCTTATTTTCATTCAATTCCTTGTTCCTATTGTGCAATTTAATTATATTCATATCAATAAATATTCTACCGAGAAAAAGACGTTGTCACGTAAAATCTTCGCCCGTAAAACCGACTTTACAGGCAACCATTTTTTTTATATTATAAATTTAGAGTAGTATTTGCTAGATTTAATTTTAAAAATGAGATTAGAAAGAAATTGCGTAAAATTAACCTCGATTTAATAAATGAAACGCTAACACAAAATACTCGGTATTGAACACGAGTGGTGCCATCTCGTATTATGTTAAGATAGCAACTTGCACATTTCAAATTTAATCTGTCTTCGTGACAGTAGCGCCATCTCTATCGGGACCAACCATGAAAATGATTAATTTAGTTGAAAATTATGTAAATTCGAATACATAAATTAAAAAAAAGTAGCTTATAGCAGTCTCATAAGTTCAAGCTAAACATATACCAAATTTCATCACAATCGGTTCAGCGGTTTAGGCGTGAAGAGAAGACAAACAAACAAACACACTTTCCCATTTATAATATTATATAATATATAATATAATATAATATAAGTATAAGTATATAAGTATAAGTATGGATTATTGTGAGCATTGTGTTACAGTATTTTCCGCTAAATTTGCAAAATCTGGTTTTTATTTTTATTTTTTAAGCATTTCTGTGCTAGATGTTTAAATCTAAAGAAAATTTTACTAGAAAAAAGTCCACGCGGACCAGGCAGCAGACGGGACTCGAACCCGCACCCTTCGAGATCCGGGCAAATGCACTAAAAATTTCTTTTAAACATAAAATCTGGTTTGTTATTGGAAACTGCCAAAATTAAAGATTCCAACGTATAAGCGTCTGTCATTTTTTTGTTTGTAAGTAGGAAAAAGATGATTCACATAAGTATGTTGAACCAAAACATGAAAGCAGTTGTTCAGCACATCTTTTGACATTTGGATATTTCTCGTTGGAAACTTTGCTTTTTCTTCGTAGGATGACTTTGCTTTTAGTAGTACCAGCGCAGTGTCATTATTGCATGTGGTCCATTTGGAATGTATCGGCAAATTTTGTAACCATTTCATAGATATCACTATCATCATCATCATCAGCCTATTAATGTCCCCACTGCTGGGGCACAGGCCTTCCCTATGGATGGACTAGGGAGATTGGCCCATGACCCACCACGCGGGCCCGGGTTGGTGGGTGCTAACGACTGCAGATGCAGCCGGGACCAACGGCTTAACGTGCCTTCCGAAGCACGAAGGAGCTCGAGACAGTAAATTTTTGGTCACCCATCCAATGACCGACCACTGCGAAAGTTGCTTAACTTCAACGATCGCAGCCGAACCCGCTAACCAGTTGCGCCATCGAGCTCCTCCCTATCACGAGATATCACTATAGAAGAGAGGATAAAGAAGATGCGGTGTTCATGCGTCTTGCTCGTGAACGGGTATGTATGCCAGCGGAGATGAGTCTGCCTAACTTCTTGACATTGAAGATCTTAATATTTAGTAATGCAGGTAAACAATTAATGTATATTTAATCATTATGTAATGAAAGGTGACTTAATGAATCATCTCTGAAGTCATTTTTGAACTTGACAACTTTGTTAATAATAAAAAGGCAGAAAAAAAACAGCCCTTGCTGAGTTTCTTGCCGGTTCTTCTCAGTACAAGGTCTCCCGCCGTAGATTTACGAACCGATGGCGTAGCTTCTAGACATTCATGAGTGCTTGTAACACCCTAAACTGAATAAATGATTTAGATAATTATGATGATTACGATGCGCAGTCAGTTACTTACTTATTTATGTTTACTGGCCAGTGGTAATGACGTCACGAATCCGACGCCATATTGTACTGGTATACTTTCATTTTTTTTACCGGGAAAACGAATTTGACGTATGACCGAGCGTGCGTGAGATGCATTCGAATTTTATTTCTTTTTTATTTAAAGAAC